TGTACAAAAGATTTAGTAAAAGGAGAAAGAAAGTCAAGTATTTCTTTTCTCTGTCTCTCTTTCTCTCTTTGAAGAATTTGGAAGGAGGTGAGCTTAGCAGGCAATAATTACCTGAGTGAACTTATCATCACTTGCTTTTACAGAAAAGTGCTCTGGCCACTCTTCGCTCTGTCCTCCTGATGCCCAAGTGTGCAAAGATAAACGCAGTCCCTTCCTCTCTTTGTTTCTGGGGTCTAGCCTGAAAGGATGAAGAATTTTAACAGGTTGGAAGCAGATAGATCTTCTGTCATATCTTTCTCTAAGTTCTCTTCCCCATCTCCTCATGCCTACCCACATGCGTATCCTTTCAAAAGGAGCAAGATATTGAAATTTGTCAGTAAGTCATATGCATTTCCCCCTGCTTAACATTAGAGCTTTGATTTCTCCAGACACTGAAAACTATAATAAGGAAACTATTTTCAAATTACTATTAAGGTTTGGTGATTGGCTAGCTTTTGCCTAGACATTCAGTTCACTTTCATTAAAGGATCGAAACATTCTAATTCTAAAGTATTTGACAATAGAATTTAAGAGGTGCATATTTGAAAATAACTTGAGAAGTGGGGTCATCTCCAAAATGCTCAAAAAGCACGAAAACCCTGATTGATTCTTGATGGTGATCTCTTTCTTTCCTACCCTTACTCCCATAAAAAAATTGCTCCATCAAAGCAGACTTATCAGAAAATAGATTCAGATGTTTCACATATTAGGCCACTGGTATGTTAAAAATATGAAGTTATTCTGTCTCCTCTTTAAATCAGCCCCAGCCTTCACTACTAGTAAACACTTAAGTTACTTTCTCTCCATAAGAGAGTGAATACATAGGTTAGAGACTAGAGGGGAAGGGGTAAACAGTTTAGTTCCTAATGAAGAAGTATATAATCCATTGGATGTTTGGGTTGCTTATTATATGAAACTGGTTGATGCAGAATTTCTGAGAATAAAATAATTTTCATTCTCAGTAAACAAAATGTGTGACATATAAATCAATATAAAGTATATCTGATTAAATGTATTTCCAGGGAATCATAACATACTCTGCTTACGGTATCATAATATAATGGTATAAAACTAAACTTGTATAAATTATAAGCCTTTAAATAGAATCTTCATTTTAGGAATTATAAAACAGAGGATATATAAAATAAAATATTTTTCCTAATTCTCTGATTCATGTTTCATGTGTAATTGCTACTTTTTAGTTTCCTTATAATACTGAACTGATGTCAGCCTCTTAAGAAATACATGTGAGTTTAGGTTGATTTTTAAATTTCATAAATTGGCTCTATCAGAACCTATGTCATGAAACATCACAAACATATGTCACCTCTTAGCATTTTGTTGCAACTCAGAAAATAGTCTTAAGGATTAGCCATCGTTGCATAATTCTGTACATTTTTTTAGACCTTAATTTTAACAGATTTTGAGATATATAAAAGCATAAAGCAAGCAATAAACAAGCAGTTGTGAAAATGGATCACGGTTGATGGCCTTAACTTTTTACATAGATAAAACACAGAAAATTCAATTAAGCTCTCAGTGTGTTCATAGTAATAAATACTATGCAGTCTCACTATGTCACTCAGTTCTAGTATTCTGTGTATTTCAAGAGAAGTTTTGGGAACTTGATAATTTTATGAAAATAAGTAGGCACTGTGCATGTCTAAAATTTCAAAGGACAAAATTTTTGTTTTTTTTTTCTCTGATTTGATTCCTATCCAAAAGAACTATTAAGTGATTGTTGACAAGGAGAAGGTTGAAAGATGATCACTAATTTAGACTGAAAAGCCAACAATAATATAAAAGCATTGAATAAATAAAAGTCCTAATCCACTTGAAAATCTAATAGTAGAATACTGCCGCAGAGTAATCACCTTATTAAAATACTGTTTGTCAGAGTTTTTAGTTTGCCTATTACTCAATGCAAGTGTGGTCACAGAACCTTTCATAGTTAACTTACATGAGATGGCACAATTTTTCCTGTAACATGATCAAGAAATCTTTATAAAATAAAGACGTGTCAAGTGAAAATATATGTGCACCTTTTATTTCAGAGTAGTTTAAATCTGGCACAATTAAACACTTAAAATATCTTAATATATGGCACTAGGTAAATTTGGTAAATCTTGAGATAACATATTTTGTTTCTCCAACTTAAAATATTTTTAAGACACTCACCATAGTTACTCTATTTGAAAAGCAAACTGTTGTCATTGGATAGCACATCATCATTCTCTTCTATGACACAGCATAGCACATAAACTCATCCTTTGGAAAATCAGGACTGCTTTGTAAAATTGACACCAGCTGATTTTACGTTTATTTATACATTCCATTCACTCACTTCTTTCTTTCTCACTTCCTTTTCTAAGCCTCTTAATTGTGTTTTCGCCAATACTTCAAAGTTTAGGAATTGTCATAATTTATGCATTCATTTTTTTCCTGCTCACATATATGTATGAGCAAACTAAATATATGAGAATGAACTTTAAGGGCAATAAGCTTAAACATAGAAACAGATATGCCCTTCTGCTGTGACTGAAGATGTCCCCTTTCTAACCACTGTTCAGCCTCCTCTGCACATCTATGAAATCCAACCTCAACTACAATCGAAAGGTAGAAATCATTTGAGATTTTCATTCCTTACCAGGTTTTCTCTGGACTAACAAATGGCTGCCTAGATAATGAAATTCATGTACCATTTACATAATTTCTTTCATTTTTTCCTCCTTTTCAAGCATATTCAAAAACTGTCATTCATCCCCTTCTAATATGTATCCCCAGGACAGGAATTTATTTCATAGTAAAGGATAGGTTTCAGGCTCTTTTGCTTTTCTGTAATTTTGTGGTTTGATGAAAAGTGATATTCTTTTGATAGCAATCTCTATTACCATTTAGAATTATCAGAAGTCTCCTAAATTATTAATACAAATAAAGCACTTGTACAGCAATATGACACTATGCCTGTTAAGATAAACTTGTATTTCTGTAATTAAATAAGCAGAAATCACTCACTTTATCAGTTTGACAGACCGTAATGGCATGAAGCACTTCAACTGTATGGCATGTGCCTCACCAACATGCACTAAGTTTTGGTAGATTTTTATTCATTCATTTACTGGACAAATATTTATTGGACAATTTCTACATTCCAAGTGCTATACTGGGTAATAGAAAAAATAACCTAATCATGGTGGCATCACTCAAATCCATACTATCCATGCTACATGTTTGTCTATCTGATTATAAGCTAGGGTTGGTGGACCACCCAAGAGGTAAAGCCTCTTTATGATAAGGTCATTTAAGTGCACTTTTTTCTCTGAAAAAATGTAGGTAGTTTTGTTTTACACCCCATAAGGTGATCTATGGGATAACCCAGTTCTATGGCATAATGGGATTTTATAATGGGGTTTTAGTATAGGTTATTTATCATCTTTTCTAAAATCTAAATTAGTGGTACTATCATGAATTACATAAGCACTTTTATAGATTTTGTCATCTGTCTCAATTTGACATGGTTATTTAAATTGATTATTTGTGATTGACAAAGGCTGGTATACAAATTAATCTAATAGAGACATTATATTTGTTAAAGTTAATTCTTTTCCAAATACTTACTAAATGCAAATAAAAATACAGTTATGGTAAGAAGTATAAATAAATATCAAGATTTTAAAAAACTAGAAAAACAATGACTTTTAATTTAATTATAATTGCAAATTAAGATCTTCACAAGAAAAAGTTAACGGGTTTACAAAACAAATGCACCAAAGAATATGCAAGCATTTTGTGTAGACGTAACTTAAAGGGTCATTGTGTTTGTTGGGGAGACTTTTTTAAAAATTGCAATTACCAAAACTTAATGTAGTGATCTACTTTTGTCACAAAATATTATTAATTTTCTTATCTTATAAATAGACAAAAAACTATGGAAAGTCTTCATTGGACCTTCAAAGTATTTATTTGTTTTAGAATAAGAATTGGCATTGAAAGATCCAGAAGATTGGATCTTTTGGTAGAATACTTTTGGGGGAAAAAAATCAAGGGAAATAATCAGAGTACCTATATTTAGTACTCAAATCAGTCCTTAACTAGCATTCTGAAAATCACCTCACTGACCCTCATAGATCAGTTTCTTGAATTTTCGTTGGGCTTGTAGGAATACAAAATATGCACAATGTATTCAAAAGAAAGAACAATTAGCAATTTGGGTAGTTACAAACTCCGCCATTTTTCAAACAAACAGAATTGGCTCTTAGAACAAACCTAATTACCAACTCAACCAAAACTTAAACTTTGTAAGATTAAGAACTAATTTGATATATTGAGCAACATTTAAATAACATCAGTAGCAATTAATATTGTAGATACATTATACATTTTTTCACCCTAATTAAACTCTTCTTTTAAACATAAGAGGGGAAAAAGTGACAGAGAAAAAGTTAGATGATGAAAGAGAACACAGAAGATAAGCCTTGGAACAAAACAAACCGCTATTCCTTGTGTCTGATGATATATGTGGCTAAATTCCCCATATATTCAGTGTACTGGAATATTTACTTCCTGCCCCCTTAACAGACCAAGATCATTTATAAAATATGTTTTCATCACATAATTAATCACATATTCAGCTACAAATGGCAGAGACCCAAAAAACACTAGACTGTTATTAATATATTTTCCTTTGTTTGTGTTTCAATACTTTTGGCACATAAGGAATTTTCTATAGTCTGAGACCATTTAGCATTATATCAAGAATTCCACTTAAATACACAGACAGTGGCATGCCAGAAATGTCTAAATTCACAGTAACATTTAGGGATATTTGTTGCCAAAAGCTGTAAACATGCAAGTTGATTAAGTATTCTCTTTCATGCTCCTGTCTGTATTATTTCATTAGATAATGAGATAGGCTGCCCTTTCTGTCCATCATTAGAGCAGCTGGACACAGCATTTGCTACCTGGCAAAACTTTCGAAGAAGGATCTTTCGTAACAGGAGATAAACCCAGGGATCCAAGATCTGGTTCAGTGAAGCCAGACGAACAGCTATTAAGAAGAAGTTGCATTCTTTGTGCTTCTCCGTGTTTGTCTTGCAGTGCTCAACTGATGTCTGATTGAAGATCATTTTCAACATCATTATCTAAGAGAGAGGGACAAATAATTGTTCCAAAGATTAACAAGGTCATATGTGTCTCTTCTACACAGTACTTTGCACATAGTAGGTTTTCAATAAATTGGTGGTTGGATTGAAATGATTCATTCAAGCAACATTTATACTCACAGGACACAGTTCTGAATTCCACAAGACATTCCTAGGGATTTTCCCAAATTTGTGGCTATTCAACATGATGTAGCTTTTTATAGCGTATATGTTCTCAGGCTCTTAGTCTTTGGAATGTAAGAAGCTTGAAAATAACACATCTCAAAATTAGCCAAAGTCATCTGTCTTGTAACAGAAAACACCAGTAGGTTGGCACCCAAACGAGAGCAGAGATTCTAACCACAACCAAAACATATTTAATCTTAAAATTTCTAACTAAAAAAAATTACTGAAGAAAAAACTGAAGCAATAAAGGGGAAAATAATAATAATAATGTTATTATTACCATTAGCATTTTCTGAATTCTTACTATCTACCAGGCACTGAGTCAAGTGCTTCGTATGCATTTAATAAACAATATGAGATAGATACTATTACCTGCTTTTTACAATTGCAGAAACCAAGGTTTAATGATATGAAATGATTGAGCCAGGATTAAACCCAAGTTCACTAACACCATAGGACATATGCTATTTTACTTATTGTTGTCTCCCCTTGCAATACATACTAGAATGTAAACTCCACGATGGCAGGAATTTGGGACTATTTTTCCCCCAATTGTATATTCCCAGTGTAGCAGATAGTAGGTGCTCAATAAATATTTGTGAGTGAACAAACATATATATTTGAAGGTATTTACTATATGACACAAATATGAGTATATGATATAAGTATATTTATATTTGAATGAATATTTGTAATTTTCAGAGAAGAGAAAAAAATGAAGGTTCTTATGCATATGAAAAAATGTTCAGATTTATTAATCATTAGGAAGCATGCAAATTACACCAAAATAAGAAGCCATTTTATACCCACTAGTTTGACCAAAATGAAGAAATGTGACTATGCCAAATGTTAGAGAGGATGTGGAACAGCAAGAGATCTTTTGCATACCACTAGTGGGAGTATAAATGGAGCAGCCACCTTAGAAAACAATTTGGCACTCTCTCATCTGCTCCTCGCAGCAGTACTCCTCCTAGGGATATACTGTCCAGAATTTCCACACCAGGAGTTGTGTATATGACTGTTCATAATAGTGTTGTTCATAACAGCAGGAACAATCTAATCATGGGCTCACATTCACAAGCAAAGAGCTGACTTTGTAACTGGCTCCTAAATTTACCATGCTAGACCTACACAGCTACTGAGCACTTGGAATGTGGCTGGAGCACATTGAGATGTTAGAATATGTAATGTTGATTATATAAGGGAATGATAATATTGTGTTAAATAAAATATTCAAATTATTGTCACTCTTTTTACTTTTTTAATGTGGCTACTAGAAAACTTAAAATTATTTATGTGCCTTTTTTTTTTTCTCACAGTATATTTCTATTGAATCTCCCCTTTTTGGGGCTCACATTTATTTGTATGTTTTTTGTCCTCAGGTCACATAACCCAAACTGAATTCAACATCCCTGAGCATCCACACACACACATAATTCCAACAATGGCACTTTCTTTTTTATAGTTACCCTGACTCAACACTTCAGATTCTTTGCATTCTTCTTTCCTTCATCCTCTGCAATGTCTTTTGCTGTTGTTTGGTTTTCATCCTAGTTCAGATCTTCTTCTCATGTGAATTATGGTAATAACAGACATCCAAATGTTGCATATTATGAACTGAATGTTTGTGTCCCCCTTCAATTTTTTTTTTTTTTGAGACAGGATCTCACTCTGTTGCCCAGGCTAGAGTACAGTGGTAACATCATAGCTTACAGCAATCTCTGGAACTCAAGCAATCCTCCTGCTCCAGCCAAGTAGCTGGGACTACAGGTCCATGCCACAATAACCAGCTAATTTTCCTATTTTTTGTAGAGACAGGAGTCTCACTATGTTGCCCAGGATGGTCTTGAACTCCTGGCCTCAAATGATCCTCCCTCCTCTGCCTCTCCAAGTGCTAGAATTACAGGCCTGAGCCACTGTGCCCATCCTCCCTTCAATTTACATGTTGAAGCCCTAATCCCTAATGTGATGGTGTTAGGAGATGGGGCATTTGAGAGGTAATTAGGTTTAGATGAAGTCGTGAGGATATAGCTCCCATGATGGAATTAGTGTTCTTATAAGAAGAGGTAGAAAGACCAGCACTCTTTCCCTCTATCATGTAGAACACAGGAAGAGACGATGGTAGTCAGCAAGCCAAGAAAAGGGCCTTCACCAGAAACCAAATCTGCCAACACCTTGATCTTAGAATCCCCAGCCTACACAGCTGTGAGAAATAAATGTCTGTTGCTTAAACCACCCAGTCTATGGTATAATGTTATAGCAGCCCAGGCAGACTAAGTGTAGATAGATGTCAACCCATCACAGATTAAGCTTCCCAAATTCCAGCTCTGATAAAACCCTCTCCAACTATAAAAACATCAATGTCTTCCTACTGGCTACCAAACAAAAATTTAACTCTGGCTATTCAAAGCCCTCTACAATACTGTCCCAACTCATCTTTTCAGCCTTGTCTTCCACTACTAGCCTACACAGACACTAAACTACAGCTGTGACTCAGTGGTGTAGAACATCCTTTACTCTTTCCTGCTTCTTGGCCTTTACTCCTCCTGTTTTCTTCCCCTGGAATATTTTTGATCCTAAAATCCATTTCTACTTCTGGACATTCCGTGTCTTTCAAGACCATGTTAGTCTTTTCTGATCACTCCAAACCATTATCCTTCAAAGGCCTACAATATGTGTATGTGTATGTGTATGTGTATGTAATATGTATACACATGTTTGTAGATAGACAGACAGACAATATTAGCAACATAATGTCCCTCAAAAACTTGGATGTGAGGGGTAATAAAGGCGGGCCCCTAACAGTTAAAATATATATAACATCAACATGTAGGAACCTAGCTCTGAAGTTAGTAAACTTGACTGCAAGCAAATGAACAAATTATTGACATATCTGAATCTATTTGCTCTGGGGAAAAGGATATTTAACCACTGGGTTTGAGTATTTTCTACTCTTGTTGGCATAATGGACTCCTATTGCAAGATAAAAGATGTAACTGGCTACATTAGCTTGATGTTTGTACATATTTGATTATTTGAATTTCCTATGTTCTATGTCTTTTCCACTATTGATGCTAAATAAAATATAGAGATAAATTTCTGAAATTAAAACATTTAATGTCAGAGGAAATAACTGCAATTCAGGACATATATGCAGACTAGCTGGTCTTTGATATGTCTAAAGAAAAAAGAGAAGGTTAAACATTTTATTAAAAGTACAAATATTACATGGTGCTCTTCAAGAAAGTTGTTGGCCCTAGTAAGGTTCTGGGAAGCTGGCAAGTTTTGATCATGAGTGATAGCATTGGGTAAAACTAGTCTTAGAGGTGTAGCAGGTCACTTCAGTAGCCATTAGATAAAACTGGGTTGAGGTTACAATAGGCAGAATCAGCTGTCAGGCAGCAATAATTATGTGCTCTGAATAATTTATTCCCCTGGCCTCTCAACTCTGTTTCAGTTGGGTATAGCAAGGCTGACCCAATTCATACAATCAACTTTCATAACGCCAAGCTGATCTTGACTGGTCCCAGAGTTGATAAGTCAACAGGAAAAGAGAGCTGGATCATAGGATTTCTGTTATTGCCAATTCTGCACAAGTAATCCCAATTTTATTTCAAAAAAAAATACAGGTTTAAAATTCAAAAAGCAGGCAGGCAGGTAAAGCAGATAGACAAGAAAGAGAGGAAAAAATTACACAAAAACTCCTGCAAGACTATGTGTACACATTGGCCTCCAGCCATTTCCCTTTCATTTCATTGAGTCATAGGTTATTCTTAAACTGATCACTGGCAATGAGGATGAGAACTTAAAGTTTTGGATTATAAGGAAAATTCATGTTCTTGGGCTTGACCCATGGTCCCTGGCCAAATTGTCCCCTAAAACACAACCAAAATTATTGTTCTATAAACAAATAAGAAGAGAGGAATGGGTAGGCAACCACTACATAGCTCTGTAATCTTTTTTCATAAGAATTTTTCTAAAGGATTTATTCAATAAAAGTAAAAAATAGTTACACAATAATTACATGTTCAAGGAAGCATTTTCTATACTGGTATGAAATTATAAACACATATATATCTAATATTAGGTATAAAGCTGAATAAAATGCAGCCAATTCACAAAATAGCATATATAAGAATTAAGTGAAAAAAATAGAATATAAGATAGCATTATGTATATGAAATTTTATTGTTATTACAATCATACTATGTAAAATACATAGACTTATGGAAGGCAATGGAATTACTATATTTAATAATAATTTACTATTAAACAATAGTCATTAAATTAAACATTTTATGTACATAAAAACATTTTTAATGACCTAAGAAAGTCTTTCATTTAAAAAAGTGGATGATTATTTCCTTATTAATAAATGTGCATTGTTATACACCAAATTTACTTAAATATTTACATTAATATCTTCTGATGCTGGCTCATAGTCCTGTGAACTGAATACTACCTGCCACTGTGGTAATGGTCGTCCTATAAAGAAATCCATTTCTCAGTCCCTGGAACCTGTGAATACATTAAGGGTAGGCTCAGTATAATCACAAGGATCCTTAAAATCAGAGAATCTTCCCCAGCTGTGGTCAGAGGGAGACGTGACTACAAAAGAATGGTCAGAGAGATGCAATGTTGCTAGTTTTGAAGATAGAGGAAGGGAGCTGCAAGTTAAGGAATGTAGATGGCTTCCCCTAGATGCTGAAAAAGACAAGGAAATGCTTCTCTTTTAGAGCCTCCAGAAGGTAATGCAGTCCTATGGCTCCTTGATTTTAGCCCAGGGAGACCAAGGTCAGAATTCTAACCTACAG